GAACTCCTAGAGCAGCTGCTGCTGGAAGACTTGACAGCCGAGTTTTGGAGTTTGGAAGCCAGAGAAGAAGTTATGCTCGGAGCACGGCGGAGGCGCCGCCCTGGCCCTGCAGGGAGAGCTCCATGCACTGACCTAGAAAGTATCCCTAATGTGCCAAGCTGCAGGAGCTGGGGAGCGGGTAGAGCGCCATGTGCCTTGGCTTCTTAGGGATACCCCCTAGGTCAACTAATGGCGCTCTGCCCGGTTGGAGAGGGGGTTGCCGGGCGGTTCTCGTGAGCGCGGTCACCTCATGACTGCTTTGCCCCTGAGACTGTGCCCGGCTCTTTGGGAGCCAGTTCGCAAGGGAGCAGCCACCTGGCAACCCCAAAACAATAAGCCCTCCCCCTATAATAAGCCCAAGGCCATATTTTGTGGGGCAAAAGAAAATAAGACCCTGTCTTATTTTCGGGAAAATACGGTATATAAATGTAATGAGGCTGTATTTCTGGTATAATGCCTTGTGCTTGGCATTAAAAATGATAATTCCTATTTCATTCATATATCTGAAGCACATGTTTAAGCCCTTTTTAGTGAATAGAAATAGTGAAATTACAATTTGAATGTTTAATATAGAAAACCAGATTTGTACATCGACTTTATCTCTTAAAGTCCAAACTAAGGTTTGTCTATGTTGTTGGTTCTAGTACTTCTGTGCAGAATTCTATTATCTCTCAGTTCTGCTTGATTCATGCAAACATTTAACACTCTATCCATATCAATGAGCTCTGTACACTTCTTTTGTAGATTAAAAAAATAACACTCAGATTTAACGGACATTTGTATTAAACACCCCCGCCCCCCCCCATTCTAGTAATGCTTTAAGTAGAGGATTATATTGTATTTGAAATTTATTTTTTCTAGAAGACCGGATAAACTTATCAACAGTAATATCCTTCAGAGTAATAAGTCTTTGTAGAAGAATAAATGTTTTATTAAAAATTAAGGGTATAAATTCTCTTGTTTTCTGTAATAAAGGTATTGCCATTAAGGAATCGGCCAAAGTTGTCGATCAGGCACAAAGAAGGGTTATGAAAGGTGTGGATGACTTAGACTTCTTTATCGGGGATGAAGCAATAGAAAAGCCTACATATGCAACAAAGGTATTTAAAATTAAAAGTGGCATTTTTTTTTCTTTTTTAAGCAAAGAAAGAAAGATTGTCTAACTTTCAGGGATGAATAGTAATTTGAACTTCATTTTCTTCCTACAAACTAATGTTTTATTTACTGTATCATATAATTTATTATAAACAGCAGTATGTTAATATTTCAGGTTAAGATGAAGTTTTAAGATGCTTACCGGTATATTTTAAAACAAGTTATGATAATTGATTTGATTTAAAAAAGAGCAGTATCATGTAAAAATGTAAACTGTATACTAAACTATGTACAAATAAGCCAGAGCAAAGTTATATTTATTCATATTTATGTGATTCTACCATAAGTTTAAATTTAGTATTATTTTAACAACATTCACATTTTAAACAGTGGCCCATTCGCCATGGCATAGTTGAAGATTGGGACTTGATGGAGAGATTTATGGAACAAGTTATCTTTAAATATTTAAGGGCAGAACCTGAAGACCATTATTTTCTTTTGGTGAGTATAAAATCGATTTGAAGTATTGGTGACTCAGGATACTCATTATTCAAAGTAGAACAAATCCTTCAATTTGTAAAAACAAGTGTAATAGATAATTGAGCAAAAGCTGAAAAGAATTAAATCTGATATATAGTACAGGACAACAATATGATATATAATACAAAATTACATTGTAATAAAAATTTAAAATGCGGTACAGCAAAATAAAATAAGGTAGTTGTCTGGTTCACAGAATAAGCCCTGGTGGTGCAATGGCTAGAATGCAGTATTGCAGGCAAACTCTGTGCACAGCCTAGAGTTTGATCCTAATGGGGCTCAAAGTTTCCTCAGCCTTTTATCCTTCTGAGGTCAGTAAAGCGAGGACCTATATTATTGGGGGCAATATGCTGACATTATAAACTGCCCAGAGAGTGCTGAAAAGTGTGTTTCTCCTAAAATAAGACCTACCCGAAAAAGAAACCCTATCATGTTTTTGAACACATGAGCTCAAATTAAGCCCTACCCTCAAAATTAGCCCTTAAGCCCTACCCTCAAAATTAGCCCTAATTAAGACCCTGCCCACCCTGGGGTGCTGGGGGTGGGGTGAGGTAAAAATTAAGCTAGGGTGGAGATTGGGGGGATGGACCTGCCCTACCTAGTAGGCCTTGCATACCCCAATACCTGCCTCGTCTTCTGCGGCCACTTATTCTGTGTCCTGCTTCTGTGGCCACTTGCTGTCGCTCACATGCGCCCCTGGCTTCCGTTTCACCATGGAGCATTCCAGAAAGCCCTCTGCAGCTGAGAAACGAGCTTTGGATTGATGTGTGTGTCACCCCATGGCTTCCGTTTCCCCTTCAGATGCCTTCCAGAAAGCTTCTGCAGCTAATAACATAGCTCCGGATCAATCAAAGGGAAGCAGCTGCAAAAGAAGTGGGGCGGCAGCTGGATCCTGCTGGGCAGGGCTGTTAGTGCCGCTGCGGTGAAGTGAGTCAATAATTAGACCCACCAGAAAAGAAGCCCCAGCCGGTTTTTCAGGGGTCAAAAAAAGAAGACATGGTCTTATTTTCAGGGAAACACAGTATGTCTTATTGCTATAACACTGAGAACACATAAAAAGCAAGCTCATAAAACAGATACCAAGTTAATATTTTTTGGGAGAAAATAATTATCTGGGGAAACTGTTTCTAAAGGTATGTATTATTAAGATATTTACAATAATAAATTTTAACAAACAAAGCCAGTTCAGAGAGCTTACCTTTGATGGAGCTATTGAAGCAGAAGTTTGGTAGGTAATTTGTCAAGGATGGATTCCTTCTTTAATCAGAGAATTTGGATTCTTTCCATTTAGGGGGGAGTTGGACTCCATAGCCCAATTGTTCCCTTCCATATCTATAATTATAGCAATTAAGCAATTATTGGGACAATAACCAACCTAAAGTACTCCTCTAAAATGCTTCTGCATTTTATAGCTTTAAAATCTTGAAATAATATTTGTAGTCTCTGAAGCCAGATGGGAGAAGAAAGTCAGAGCTTACCTAGTATTTAATGGCTGTAAGGCTATTATAATAAAATACATAGTTGCAATATATGAAAGAATAAGTAAAATTGCTGACCTCATTTAGCTCACTAAAGAACTCTTCAGGAGCAGTCTTTATTTTTAAAACAAAATGTTCATGAAATTATGTAAGACGTATTGTATTGCTATTAAATCTTTTCCTCACTCACTGACATTAGCAAGGTTTCCAATTTGTATGCAGAGTTCCTTAACAGAGTTAAGAGAGTTATCAGAGTTATTCTGTTCCTTGAGAAGGTAATGTCTGGGAATAATGGGACAACATTGTTCTATATTTGCAGGTCCTACTTGCTTTTTGTGGGGAAAAATAAGCATACTTAGGAAGTTAAAAAAAGGTCTCAATTCAAGCACAATATAGTAGAGAGAGAACTTATACTTCTTTCAGTAAGAAATCAGTTCATCTATGGTGTTGGATATATTAGATCCTGTAAAGCTATCAAAACAAGTAAAATGAAGTATAATTATTCAGCTAAAATATTACATGGCTACAGAAAGTAGGTTAAATTGAGCTGAATAGTTGTTTTTTTCTTCACAGACTGAACCTCCTCTAAATACTCCAGAAAACAGGGAATATACTGCTGAAATCATGTTTGAATCCTTCAATGTTCCTGGGCTTTACATTGCTGTTCAGGTGAGATGTAGAATTCTGAATGTATTAAATAATACTCCTTAAGAAACTATGTGGATTCTGCGTCAGTTGCCCCAGAATTAGCCTGTTCTGTATCAACTGCACTTAGAACTTTTCTTTCTGGCATCTGACCAAAATAATAATGGTAATTTTATGAGAACTTCTTTCCTGCTATGTCCAACTGGCCCGCTGGACCGACAATGAGCTCACCCCAGTTTGAGGTGAGAGGCCTTTTGCATGAAACTCATACATTTGGAAATGTTCCAAATATGTTCTGAAGTATAATAGAAAGTTTTGTAAGCTCTATGTTTGTAAACGACTAAAATGCACTCCTTTATCTTCTTTGTTTTTTCTGACTGTTAATTTGGGATATATAAATCACTGTTCCTAGTATTGGACATCTAGTCCTGTCTTTTACCTTTTGTTGGATAGCATGCTTAACTAAACAATGAGCACTAGTAATACTGCTTGGGAGGGGTGGCTAATAGTTTCTTTACAAAATGCACTAACTGCTTCTTATGATTAGGTGTGATGTGGAAATACTACCAATGTGCAAATAACACTAATGTAGAATTTCATAAAGTAATACAAATTAACTTTCTATCAATTGAGGTAAGATCAAAATCATCTTGTAAAGTATAGTTTGTCTTTGTTTTATGTGATCTATAATTGTCTGTGAATTCTGCTTCTTGGAGAAAAGAATTATTAGCACGACAATTACTATGTAAGTTCTCAATCAGAATTTCACTTCTTCCTACTCTCAGGATATAGAGCACCTTATAATAAGTGTTTATTGGATGAAAGAGCACCATGACGCCTATAGTTTTATTATTTCTATACTTAACTCTTCTATAGTGTTTCCATGGTTTGCTACCACAGTATTTCTTTTGATAGGATTTTTTTTGTTTGTTTAACATTTACAAGACATTTGGCGTAACTTTGCAGTTTAAGATAATCTTTATTTTAAGTCATAATTCTGACACTAACATTTCTCATCAATATTTATTGATTATGTATATTACACTTCTTAATAAAGGATTGATAATATATCTGATTACTATATTGGAAAGATTACATAGTAAGAAATATTGTAATACAGTGAACAGTACAAGTAGGAAAGGATAATCTTAACACAATATTGTATTGAGTTCTTATACCTGAACTCATCATATTTGCAATCACTTTATGCCAGAAAGATAATATGAAAAAGAATATTGTATTTTCAGCCAGTCTGAAATTAATGTAGCTTCAGTTGGATAGTGCTGCTTTCCATCAATACTTTACCTACTGAGATTATCTCAAAGCTTGAGTGCAAATTTCAGAAGAGTTCTAGTTTTTAATAGTGCTGCGGCAAATATTTAAAATTTAACAAACTATCTGTTCTTATATGTTCTTCATTTTCTTTTTCACTTTTTTCTTGTAATGTGTATAATTTTCTTAGGCTATGTAATGCAGTATAAATATATTGTATTCATGTAGTATTCATTTTTTTGAGATTATGAAACATTTATACTCAAACTATTTCCTTGGTAGGCTGTCCTTGCTTTAGCTGCATCTTGGACATCAAGACAAGTAGGAGAACGGACACTGACTGGAACGGTTATAGATAGCGGGGATGGTGTCACTCATGTCATTCCTGTGGTAAGATTTAATTACACAGTTTCATTTATTAAAGTACAGTTCCTAATAGTGTAATTATTATGGAAAGCACAATCTTGTTTTCAGCCTTTTCCTCATGAGTTCAGAGCTATGTAACTATCCTCCACAAATTACAAAGTATGCAAAATGTTAACACTTATTATTTTTAACTAATGTTAAGAAATATATTTTCTTAGTTTACAAACTATAAGGCACTTAAACAGTCTGTTTATTTTATTTAAAAATATTTCAGTGATAGTTAACCTGGTGTCTTCAAGATATTTCATTAGAAATTCTTAAAATTCCATACTTTGTGGGTGGTAGAAATTAAGTCTAAAACATCAGAAAGACATCATTTGGTATATCTGCTGAAAAGTTATGCTCTTCAAAGATTTCATGACATAGAAAATGCTAATGCTGAAATACTTGTTTTGGTGTTCTCCTGAGAAAGTGATATTAGATATTATTATTAGATCGTGCTATAGGCTGCCTTGAAAGTTATATAAATAGAAAGGCAGGGTATAAATGCATTACTGAAATGCCCTACAGGTGATCTATAGCCCTATGAAATGCAAGTCTTGCAACTTTTATTAACTCTGACAATAAATTAGGAGGAATTAATGGGGGAAAGAGGAGAGGATTATTAGATTAACAGAATTTTATCTTTTCATCTCCTTAATGTGACATCATCAGAATTGGTTCTGATGAGTACAGGGTCAAGTACATTTCTGCCCAGGAATGCACCAGTGGGAAGAAGATCAAATATGATTTATGATTGTCACCGAGGACATTTTTTTTATTTCCAGGCTGAAGGTTATGTAATTGGTAGCTGTATCAAACATATTCCAATAGCCGGACGAGATATAACTTACTTTATTCAGCAGCTGCTAAGAGAACGAGAAGTAGGAATCCCTCCAGAGCAATCATTGGAAACTGCTAAAGCAGTCAAGGTAATATATTTGCTTAACATTAATTGATATATCAGCAATACTTTTAATGAATGTTTATTTATTGATCCAAGTGCAAATTGATATATTAAAATTCAAATCCTGGCTTTGCATATGTATATTCTGTGCTATCTAGCAGCCTTCACAGCAAATTGGAATGAAGCCCCAAAATGACAACCAACTCTACAATTATGCCCTTGCATCAAGATTTTGTGATGCACCAGAAATGGCTGCTCTTTTTCTGAAGCTCTTTAGGTGGCTTTTATTTCTGCTTCTATAATCCAGAACCTCAAAATGGACACCCAATCTTTTCTGTCTAGCTTTTGCTGAAGTTTAGCTATTTCTAGTGTGAGCAGAGAGTAATAAAATGGAAGGAAAATGGCAGAGAGAATCAATAATTGGAAAGAGTTTCTCCTGCTTCCAATAAAGCCAATGGCAGCAGAGAGGGAGCTATTAGAAAGGTCAGGAACAATAATCTGGAAACAAATAGTTTTTTGTCTACCAGGTTCTTCACAGTCCTGTATTATTTATTTGGATTAATTAATATTTTCAAGGCATTTGCATTCCCCATAGCAAGATTCTCTTCATACTTGGGTATACGACAACTTTCTAACTAGAGCTACCTTTGAAGTGTGGAAATTTTAATAGATCCAGTATCTTCATCCAAAATGATACTCACTCTTTGTACAATTCTAGGTTAGAAGAATTTGAGTTTAACCCTGTATTGCTTTACATCATTAAGTTAATTTTAATTACTTGTTAACTCTGATAGATTCTATGGCTAATCCATGAATAAATGAAAACAGTTAATATTAGGAACTGAGAAGCTAACTAGCCAACAACTTATTTTTTCTTCTGTATGTTATAATTCTAAATAGATTTCTGGTTTTACTTTGAGAAGACCTATAATTTCTTTCCTGGAAGTTCTTTGTCTATATTTTTCCACAAATACATCTATTATTATTGATAGGTTTTTGATTATATGATTGTACAATATGTTACCATAGCAACAATATGTATGATTGCATTTTTCTATTATTGTCTTGCTGCTGAAAGAATTAAAATTGTTCACTCTGGATTCTGTAATTTTTTTAGGGATGCATAAAATGTATCTATACTAAGTACCCGGAGGTGGGTTCCTACTGGTTCGGCCAAACCAGTAGTGGTTTGCCGGCCTGAATCGCCGGAATTGGCAACTACCCAGGCCTGCCATGCGTCCAAATTGGTTCCCCTGTCGACGTGGCAATTTCCCCCCATTTTTTAATTTTCTGCACATGCATAGGCCTATTTATGGGCAACTGCGCACATGCGTGGAATGTGCATGCGCAATATTGTGCGTGCACCGAACCAGCAGTAATCCCGGCAGCAACCCACTCCTGTAGTACCAAGTACTAATTATCTAAACATAGGTGACTAATATTCATGTTTGATATCCTCACATTTATGCCATTTGTAAACTCCCTACAGTCACTTAGCTGAAATGGGCAATGTAGAAATTTGATAAATTAATACCAGTCTGTATCTTAGTTTTCAGAGAAACTTTTAGTCCTGTTATATCTAACAAAGATCAGATAGAAAGCTTGGATATTTAGTCATTTTAACAAATATGTGTTTTTGTTTTTCCAGGAACGTTTTAGTTATGTCTGTCCAGACTTAGTGAAAGAATTTAATAAATATGATGTAGATGGTACCAAGTGGATTAAGCAATATACTGGAATCAATGCTATCTCAAAGAAAGAATTTACCATTGATGTTGGCTATGAAAGATTCTTAGGGCCAGAAATCTTCTTTCATCCCGAGGTAAATTGAAGCATATTATATGTGAATTCTTCCTAAATAATATTTGAAGTAAAAGAGGGGATGGTTGTTACATTTTAAACCTACACCAATGGTGTATCTCTCTTCCCACTGTGAATTGGTTTAATTATACCACCAGTGTAGTTTTTATGTTGAGCTGTAAGGTTAAATATTTCTCCCAGCTGATGCTATTTTTTATATTGAACTGCTTGATTCATTGCTTAGCATTTTGAGATGTGTAGGTGGACTCTGAATTGTTCAGCATAAGATAACAGCAGGCAAAATAGAAAGAGGAAAGTGATCAGAGGACACATATTGGCTTTCAGTGAACTGAATCTGGCCTTTGCAAGTGCCCTTTTTCTCTCAGAACAAATGTTTCTATTCTGTTTTCCCTCTGCAATTCTGTGTGGCTCTGTGATCCACCTTTGTGTGCATGATTAAGCACATTGCATTCCTTTATCTGTATTATGTAAAAGGCGAAAGATTTATACGATCTGAAGAGAAACCAGAGTATGTATTATGAAGCTGGAATATTTTGCTTTAAATCATAATGATATTGCTAGTCACTTGATGTGGTATGATTGAAGGGATGAATTGCATCCTCCTAGGTCAAGATAAGTTTATCTGAAATGTTGCATGTTTGAAAGAAAAACCCTACCTCTATATTTATATTTATCTTAAGAGATGGGTAACTGGATACCTTAGAGATATATTGCCCTAAAACTTCCACAATTACTGAAAATTGGTGGCATGGTTTCCATTATTTAGAGTTAAGAAAACAATAAGTATAGTATAAGCTCTAAAATACCTTAACAGAGCCTTTTAAAAAACTGAGGGAAATGCTCAAATTTTAGCAATAGCAATAGCCCTTACTTATATACTGCTTCATAATGCTTTATAGCACTGTAAGCGGTTTAGAGAGTCAGCCTATTTCCCCCAACAATCTGGGTCCTCATTTTATTGATCTCAGAAGGATGGAAGGCTGAGTGAACCTTGAGCTGGTCAGGATAAAACTCCAGGCTGTGGGCAAAGTTTGCCTGCAATACTGCATTCTAACCACTGCGCCAGCACAGCTCAGGGTATTTTCCCTCATAATCTAAAGCTATTCCTGCGGAAAATTTGGTCCTATCTATTTTATATCACTACCTCACCACAATGGTCTTAGACATCTACAGACATGTTAAATACAGTCACAAAAAGCTTGTTCAAGCCTATTATAACAGAAAGCAAGGCAGAAGTTGTGGATGTTTGTTTTCCTTCATTTTTCTAACTTTCCTTTTAATTAGAAATAATTCTTCCCTAAATTATGCCTTTTTAATATAAAACTCCCAGCCAAATCTTTCTTTTCATACATTGCTTCCCATTTAATTTGTAGGTTAATTATCTCTAGTTGTTAAATTTATTCCATCTTTCTTCTAGTTTATTTTCTTGAGGATGCTAGAACAATCTATACTAATCATTACATTCTATTTTTTTAAAAAAAATATGTGGGATAATGGTTAAGGCACAAGGCTACAAACCACTGTGAGTTCTAGGCCTGCTCTAGGAATGAAAATTGTCTGGGTGACTTTGGGCTAGTTATTTTCTGTCAGACCACTCTCCCAAGGTGGTTGTAAGGGAAAACAGGAGGCAGGAGTATTAGGTATGTTCACCATCCTAAAAGAGACAGAAATGTAGCGAAGTAAAAATACAACAACAATAACAATAGGAATACCTATTCTGTTTTCAGTTTGCTAATCCAGACTTCACACAGCCCATCTCAGAAGTAGTAGATGAAGTTATTCAGAACTGTCCTATTGATGTTAGACGTCCACTGTATAAGGTTAGTTAAATGAGAGAAGGTAAGAAAGTATGGATGTAAAAAGGTGTTGCTAGATGCAAAGCATCTATCTTTTTTCCTATTTCCTAAGAATCTCCCTCCCTCTCTTTTAGATAAAACCAGAGTTTTTTTAAGAAGTCTTAATGTAGATAACTAGAAATAATATTTTCATTTATTTTATCATTTATCATTTATTTATCATTTGATATAAATGTCAGGATAATAACAATTGAGCTTGATATAAGCTGTTTCTGCTTATTGCTTTATTTGTACTGTCTTCCAATATGATGGAATTTGTACATGATTTGATGTAGTACAACTTATCAATGTGAGGAATTAACATTTTGGTCATAGTTAAACATAGGCACACTGCTGAAATCAGTTGTCATGTGATTAGCAGGCCAGTCTAGTTTGTGAAACTGAAAAGGAGTTTTTGTGATCTCTAGATTCTGTCCCTCCCAGAATAAATGTCTCCTTGGAGACCTCTGCACAGGAATCCATCCCCTGGGTCTTGGAGATAACTGTGCTAGCCAGCTTGGATATGCTTTCTGTCAACAGAAGGTCATTTTATCTCATCTGAATCCTCTTAGCTGCTGCCTGACTTTTAAGATTTTCTTTTGTTCTGTAAATTTGTTTGGTTAAAATTTATTAAATTTTTTTGATTGATGAAAGCATATTTGAGCAATGCTGTTCTCCCTTTTTAAGATTGCTCAATGCATTACTTAAAAGATATAACTTTGCCTTCTGTATAGGAAATAAAGTCTTTGAACAGGTCACATGTATTGCAGCTGTCTTTCTATCTTTTATGACTGGTTATAAATGTCATTATTACCATTATTCCTAATTCCAGAAGTGAATATCTCATTTTCACTGCTGCATAAATGATTTGATTTTGTTTGTGCAATTTTAATTCAGAATATTGTCCTTTCTGGAGGCTCAACAATGTTCAGGGATTTTGGACGGCGTTTGCAGAGGGACTTGAAAAGGACTGTGGATGCTAGACTGAAACTCAGTGAAGAACTGAGTGGTGGCAGACTGAAGGTTTGTTTCCTAGACAATAGAATGCATTGATGTGGATGACATGTGCTCTGATTTAAATGCTTGCTTGGAATGGAAACTTTTAACAACATCCTTATAGTACTGAGTAGTCATATAATCTGATTTTCCTTGTTATCTTCGTAACTTTTTTATCGCTGTAGAAAGTACTCAGATCTATGCTTTTGAAATGAACAGTTTGGGTAAGTGGTGATCTTTACCACCTAATGCAGGCAGCTGAGTACTTGGTGTTCCAGAAATTCATAGGCAGTTGATCTATTGGTCGTCTAGTGATTTGGGTCCTTCATCTTCTCTGCATCTTTTCCAGTTGGCTCAGTTTCAATTTACCTCATTATTTGCATAGGGTTTACTTTATTTTATTCATTATTATTTTATTTAATTACTGTATTTTTCATTGTCCCTTCAATACTTCTGATGGATCATGTGTATCTTAAAACATGAAAAGCAGATACTAAAAGCATATTCATTTTAGTATTATTCAGCAATTGCAATTAAATATTGCTTGTGCCTGCAAGTATTAGGTAATATTGGCAATAACCAGCTATGGAGTTACAGACCTTCTAGGCTTGGTGAGGCAACAGTCCATTTAATTTATCTACCTCAAAGAAAGTTTTCATTCTCTACTATGAAAGAAGTTGCCATAGACGCTTCAGTACTATCCTCTACAAAGCAAGTGATTTAATAAGGTTAATTTGAAGCATCTCAATTTTGCAAATTTGTAATGGCCTGTTCTATACATTTGGAAGTGTTTCAAATTTGAAAACCAGCTACAAACACACTGAACAATCCCTTACCTGCTTGAAATGCCTTTTCAAGATTCAGATAGTTCAAATTGAAATATTTGGCACATCTCTAATTTTGAGAATCTTTATCTTGTTTAAAATTTTCTTTTGATCTTTACTAACATGTACTAAACTAGGTGTTATTTTGCTTCAACTCTGGATATTGCTTTGACTCAAGCAACATATTAGGAATAACCAGTATTTAGTATTTTCTAAATAAATAGTGATTACAATGAAAAATGTGATGAGCTTAAAAGAGATTTATTAGACTTTAAAAAACACATTGCTATTATATTATTATAAGTTATTATAAATAAATTTAGTAAAGGTGGCTTGGCACTTTGCTAAACTTTAACTGCTAAATTATTTTTACTACTTTTACCAAGAAAATGCAGTGGAATTAAAACAAATATTTCCAATGATAGAATACAAGTATTAATATTAATTTGAGATAAAACATTAGAAACTTATTTATATTATACTGTACATACTATTTCCCAGTAAGGTTTTTGCTAAAAAGTTAGCCTATTATTTTTAGATGAAAATGCCAGGAATTAAATGTAGAAGTTAAACCTCCAAAGTATATATTTTCAAATTGGTAATTGATTATTGATCTATAAATTACATTTTTAGTGTTATTTCTTGAAGTTGTTCAGCTATGAGACTATATGAGAATTGGGTTACAAAAAATCCGAGCCCATCTTCCTCCTCTCTAGGGCTCTGCAAATCATATTAATCAGTCAAGTGATTCTTGTTAAACTAAACAAAAAATAAATTAAAACTGAATAAAAATTGAGTTAAAGTTGTGTAAATCAATTCTCAATAGATTTGATGGTATAGTCGTAAGTATGCTTTATTCGTCGGAATAATGTTAAAGCATTTATTTTTATGCAAAGTAATATTGCAATATAGTACATTTTGTATAAGTCAACTTGTACATGTTGTGGAATTAATCTTACGCTGATTTTGTTTTCCATTATAGCCAAAACCTATTGATGTACAAGTTATTACTCATCATATGCAAAGATATGCTGTTTGGTTTGGAGGATCAATGCTGGCTTCCACAGTAAGTTTACAAAAATGGAAAAGGAATCTGAAGATATGGTTCACTATAACAATTATTGCAATATTACAGTAGGTAATAGGTATTACAATAAATGTAAAAATATTCAGAAAGAACTTTCTTTAATATTTCTTTGATTGGGAGCTGCCTAGAGTTGGCTGAAAGCGCATGGCTATATAGATGTTTTAAATAAATAAATAAAATAGAATACAATTATCAAAGGCCCAGTCATAACTGCATACGTATCTTTATCTCTTCCTGGTCCAGATGATATTCTGAAATTTTAGAATAGGGTTAAAGAGCATATTTATCTAGGATAAGCTATAAGACTTATGAATTTGTAGAAGTGTACATTATTTGGTTTTAAGCCTTTTCAAATGGGAAAAAACACTGAACTCTTTGAGTAGTTCATGATTTTTAATAGTAGTGTCTCAAATGATTTGAGATGGCTTTCTGAGAATAAAAGAATAGACTTTGAAACTTCAGGCCCATCTACTCTGCAATGCCATGCACCTAGCCTTCAAATGTACAATAAAAACTGAACACAATATTCAAGAACACCAATTTACTGCTTATATTTTCATTTCAAAGATTGGAAACATTTATTTTTATATGATAGCTGCATCATTTATGATAACATTAATACAATAATGTTTCTTAAGGATTTTTTTGTCCTTTTTCCAAAATGTTTATTTTAATAAATATAAAATTGCAATATGATTCAGTGCATTAATTTAATTTTCTCTTTTGTCTTCTTTTTTAGCCTGAGTTCTACCAAGTATGCCACACCAAAAAAGATTATGAAGAAATTGGTCCTAGCATCTGTCGTCACAACCCAGTTTTTGGAGTTATGTCTTAAATCTGACATTTAATGAATTGAGTTTAGCGAGGCAAGGAAATGGTCTTTCTCAGTGCTTGTTTGTCTGGATGGTCGGTATTAAGATAAGAAACATGACTTGAAAATAAGAAAAAAAAGACCAAACACAATTAAACAGGAATATTTTAATAACTGTCTCAACATGCTGATATAGTGGGAAGCCAAAACAATTCAAAGTGTTTTTTTTTCTTTTGACTGAATATTTGAAGCTGTGCATAAACAAAACTAAAGAAGTTGGTCTTTGTTCTTTTTGTGCCCTAATATTTTGTATATTAATGGAATATCCAAGATTTGATGGGATTTGATGGTATGTAGATAGTCAGCTCTATAATTCTTCTATTGTACTCTTAATTGTGTACAATGCAAGAGCCTGTTTATATTTCCTACTTTTTTATACATTGAGAAAAAAATATCAGTGATTGAAAGTAATGTTAATATTTGACAAGAAAAAATACCAGTGACCAATTGGAGGGAAATGTGAAAATTAACAATGCCCACATGGAGTTTCATCATGTAAATCTCTAGTAATGTCAAAATATGACCAATCTTCCACTTGCATTCCATACATAATGCAACTTGGCAAATGCTTTTGGACCTGAGGGACTAGAATCTTGGATTAAATGATGCCTGCTAGTGCTTTCTGATTATTTGGTGCATTTTCATTCTATTTCTTGCTTGGGGAAGGGGCGGGAAAGTAAAGACAAGACTGTTGGACAAGTATTGCAGTTCTGTAGTGTCATTTCTAATTGCAACCAAATATTCCGATTACGAAAATGGGTGTATTCCACCATTCAAATAAAGACACAACTTTCTTTTTTAATATTCATGTGAGGCCTTTCAATTTCGTTGATTAATCATTTGTGAAGGTCCTTCTAATCTGCAATCACAGTTTCTCACTCCCTAATTTGGAAAAGATGAGAGGGATACATGTATGCAAGTGGTGTGTTATCTATTTAATAGCATAATGCAGTTTTAGAAGCGTAATTCTAATTAAATATATGTTTTCCATGAGATTTTGGTAAATAAAGCTGTTGCATTCCTGGCGTCTTGTGTCACAAATTTGATAACTAACTCAAGAGAATCAAGTATAAGAACTTTATTGATGGTATGTTTAATCAGAAGCAGACTTGGTGGGGCTGAGTATCAAGTATGTAGAGTATGTAAAAATGGAAGAATTGCTGCGTTTAACTGAATGTCACGACAAAGCTCTCCTTGACTGAAAGCCTTGAACAAAGAAAGTTTCTGATCATTCAGAATTATTATAAATTTCCATCTTAAACTTTTGGGAAAGTGCGGGGTGGTCATAACTGGAGACTGGCATTTAAAACGCATCTTGCATGTGATCCATCTTTACAAATGTTGAATGTCTGAACAATATTATAATCAAGTATGATGCCTGAATCTAGAATTATGTTAGATATGCTCACACAATGCAGGATAATAAGCTTGCTATGAACTAGGGTTTATTAAGGGCTTACAAATCCATCTCAATCTAATTTTTTAAAAATAGTTTTTATTGAAGTTTAAAAATGCAGGGATAAATAAAACTAATGCAAAGAAAGAAAAGTACAAAAAAAGCCAAAAAAGTGCATAGAGAAAAATATCAGGAGAGGGAAGGAAGAAAAAAAAATCCAAATTTGGATGTCCCATGAAACTATCCCCATAGTGGTTGGTTTACCTGCTGATGTGAAAAAAAGAGTAAAGCAGAAATTGGAAGCTGCATATAAATTACTTCATTCCCAAGTCAAGATTCCTTATGTCTTACTGTAACATTTGTCTCATAAAGAATAGGTATTTCTTCATCACAGACTGAATTATACGTAGCCTAAAGCGAAGAATCATATATGATACCATGATGTATTTTGTGGATTTCCTTGTGGAACCTAGGATTAGCAAATTGCCATAGATTTTTGCCGGAAGATACCTTTTGATAGCTAACTCTGATTATCAAATAAACTCACCAGAAAGAAGTTGTTCTGCTTCTGTGTATTTAAGATTCAATTATATATTTTTTTCAGTGAGTTTAGTTTAAAAATTAAGGATATTTATATAAAATCTTGATTTTAAGGCCAGTTATGGGGAAGGGATGTCCATTAAATGTATGTTTACATAAGTGATGTGTGTATGCGTGTGTGTGTATGCGTGTGTGTGTGTGTGTGTAAGTGGTATGATTATGGAAGTGATATAATTACATAATTGCATAATTATTCAGATGAAGTAAATTGCACCAGTTACATAATTATGGAACTTGACATAAATAATGTTGCTTTTCTGAACTGCTTACAATGGACATTGGGGGGCTAAGATATGACTTGACTTTATATCTGAAGTTGGCTGAACAGGGATTCATAAAACCTTACATCAAACTGAATAATGATTTACTTAACATTTGGAGAAACAATACTTTTACTTCAGGAGCTGCTAGCTCTTGATTCTGAAAAAGTTAATGGTGTTACACATCAATCCTATAGAGATTTGCACAGAAGTGCTCTATGTTACACAGTAATTTAGTAGGACTCACGTGGAATTCTTTGTGGTCAAGTTTGCACTCTGGGTCTTCAAGTAAATAGTCTTGTTTATTTTTGCATTGTAGAGATGATGCTAAAACCTGTTCTTCATCTCCAGTTCTTCAAACCTTGTGTTATAATCTTGGTTTGTAAAACAATTCTTTTTAGTTGCCAGCTGATACAATTGGTTGGTAGCAACCTGTGTTTATAGCAATTAAAATTATTTAAATGCTTACTACAGAATCAAATAAGTTATTTTATCTTGATAACTTCTATCATTCCATCCTGTGTGTGTTAATAAGTAAAAATTAATGGCAAGAATTTACTTACTCTAAGTAACTTGTAAAGGAACTGGATAATTACTTGTCTTTTGTAGCAACTGGAATGCATTAAATTAATTTTTTTTAAAAAATCAAAACTTTAATGAACTATTACTTATAAATGAAAGCCTCTGTTCAGTACCTTAATAAACTCATTGTAAGGAAAATGTATGGATTTTCTATTTAAAATGAAATTTGTTGAATTATATGAAAATCCTGTGTAATAATAATAAAGAAATGGCATTACCAGAAAATTGTGAAAGACAATTTTGAAAATAACACATTGCATGTAACTGCTAAATATTAGATAACATATATAATGTGTACTGTTCTAATCTTTAATAAAAGCTTTTGCTGTCTTTAGAAAGCTGACAGCAGAGAAAATTCTGCACAAAATATTGGTTCTTATCTCCTAAACGTCAGCATTTAAAATATAACCTTTGTCAGTTTGCATCTGGAGAGCTTAAAATAGTGTATTTTTTATTTTATGCAGAATTGTAATACTAGGACTTCTCTTTTGGTGTACCTACATAGAATTTATGTTTTTCCCATGACACTTATTTCATAGAGAGGACTAATTTATATGTTGTCTGAAATAGGCTGGGTCTGTGATGATCGTGAAAGAAATTGGTATCAATTTTAGTGTAATTTTGGGCTTCCAAGACTCCTTGGGTGCAGAGCCTTCAAATCTAGGATAGGTGTTTTCTTGGAAACTTGAATCCACATATAATTAAAATATTCCCCATCCCTAGGATTGTGCCTTCCAATATGAATATGCCTAGGGAATTTTTTTAAGAAAAAAAAAATCATATTTAGATCTTTTGAAGTGTCAGCAAGGATTGCTGGTTTTTTTGAGCAGTGCTTTTCATTGCCATTCTAACTGACTGTTAAATAGTCAAATCATTGGGGGAGGAAATGGTTTTCCAAATTATGGTCCTCTACGTTTACTGCCTTACAAAATAGCTAAGGAACCATCATGATGCAACAGCCTACATTCCTCTAGTGATCGTCCTATTAAAATTAATCACTGACCTTGTAATGCAGCTCAAAATTTTGATAGCTAGATAAATGTCTATTATTTATTTAATGCGATACACAGGCTACTTTAGCAAGGAATTTGTTGATTTTACCCTCAGTACAGCCGTACTATATTTCAAAATCTGTTTTTAAGAAAGTTTAAGAGAAACTCTGAAGCATTTATGTTAATTTTGAAATCTGCTTTTAAGCTTGGAGAATTAGGGAATGAGATCTAGAGACCTTGCATGGCCAGACCTGGCCCCCAAATCACTAAATAAGACGCCATTCTGATTCAGATTGTGTGCAGTGTTTATTTTTGAATATCATGTAGGGAGACCTTGTTCTGCATCTATCTGTTTTTCTACCTCTGTTACCAGTTGGATATATAAACAAAAGGATGCATGAATATGAAGGTGTCCTTAGTACTGAAAACAAATTCCTATTTCAAATGCTCTTTTGATAGCACCTAGCCTTCAGTTTTAAGTCCAAAACAAATAATTAAAAAGTATAATTTGTTTATTTGACTATAATAATGTCCCCCTTTATTTTTTAAAAGTAGTCACATTGCACTGGAATTTAATATATGGTAATACTGTATTGTATATACCCACCCAGTTATGCTTACATCTTAAACTTTATATATTTATTCAATAGCAGAAATGTGTTAATTGCCTTTTAGGTAGCTATTGAAAATGAAATTCAAAGCTCTACATTGAAATAATATTATTAAATTATAATAAATAACAACATCATAGAATCCTGACATAGAACCACAAGTCTTTTTATGTTGTATATTCAAAATCACCTTTAAGAAATGCAGCATTTCTAAACAAAAAATGTATTCTAAAGTATTTAAAACACTTTATTAGGGAAAAAATTAAATCTATGCTGATCTTCTTTTGAACTAGTAATACTGTTCTTTATACTAGCTACATTCAACATTCTTCATTTCAGCATTATTCTAAAATAACTTCTGACTGAAGTAGCAGATAAAAATCAGTAGTTATTAAATCAGAAATAGTGATTTCCATCAGTCTTTGGAGCCAACCTTATGCTTATGCTTAGAATATTATGCGCTTCTACAATGTACATTTTCCAATATCTGCCCTGAACTTTATAATGAAACTGGAATCTGAATACAGCTGTCTTATTATACTGACAACCACAGTGAGCCTCTTAAAGCATGCTTCTAACACAAGGCTAGAGAATGCAGAACTCCAGTCAATCCAAGTAAATGATGTAGAAAATGATTATTAGTCCTGAATTTTTAGACTGCATATCTTCAAAGCTATTCCTTATGTCAATAGCACCTACCATCTGATGAACGTTGGCTGACATTTTAACAGCTCAAAAAATAACTGAATATGTCTTCCATCTCTGGAAAAGCTTAATATGTCGGAAAAAGTAGAAGCCAATGCTCTATAATTGGAAGTATGAATCATTTATTAAACATCTTGGCACTACAGCATTTATATGTTAATTTTTATCCTGATAGAAATCAGAATAACTGTAGATACCATCAAGTGGTAAATATGTTGTTAGCTCCCCTTTTAGCTACAGATAGTTTTTGACCGTTCAAAGTTGCAATGGCACTGAAAAAAGGAACATGACCATTTTTCACACTTATGACCATGGCAGCATCCCCCATGTTCACGTGATTTATATCCAGATGCTTGGCTACTGACTCACATTTATGATGGTCGCTGTGTCCTGTGATCCCCTTTTGCAACCTGACAAGTAAAGCCAATGAGGAAGCCAGATTCACTTAACAAATGTGTTATTAATTTAATAACTGCAGTGATTCACTTAACAAATGTGGCGAGAAAAGTCGTAAAATGGGGCAAAACTCACTTAACAAATTTCTCACTTGGCAACATAAATTTTGGGCTCAATTGTGGTCGTGTGTTGAAGACTACCTGTAATTGGGGAGCAAGCATGTTAACATGACAGTGGAGAAGAAGATTCCATTTCTTAGGACAGTTTCTGTTTGCCTTGTCATTTGATCAGCTACACAATCTGGATTTTTAAATAGGCGTAAACAGAATTGTGAGACACTCATTTTTTATTATTATTTACTTAGGTTCATAATTTGTTCACTTTTGGAACTGACCCTTTGGCTCCCTCTCTCAATTTCATTTTATGTCTTAATTTGCTTTTCTGTACAACTTTTAAGATATTGTGTAAAAAGCTTTTTTGTTGTTCCAAACCTACATTGCCTATCTTAACAATAAAAGTATAATGTATAATTCTGGAATACAAGACAATATGATCTAATGTGTGCATAGCTGTTTTTTCTCTTTTAATTATTATTTTACACAAAAGTATAATCCAGCTAATCACCTATGCATGATTCATGCTTTTTAGAAAAGAAATACATGCACACAAAGTGCTCCAGAATACTGTAATTGCCCATTGAGAAAAAATGAAAACTTTAATCGTATGCTTTATTTAAATCTCTGGACACAAAGCTTATTCTACCCTACTTCAAGAGAGCCTTGAAGAGTTAGCTCTTTCCTCAGCCACCCGATAGGATGATATGCCTTCTCATTGTTGTGAACAGTATGATAGTTTTCTTTTCCCCAATATGGCTGTTTTGTTCCTGTTTTAATTGTTATCTAACTAATAAAGGTTTGTTTTTAACCTTTATTAGCCACCCAGAGTTGAATATGAATTTGGAAGCCATAGAAATGAAAGAGGGAGGGAGGGAGGGAGGGAGGAAGAGGGAAAGAGAGTTATATATTATTTAGCCAAGACTGTTAATAGTCTTGTACCACAGACTGGCAGGGTAAATTCAAAATGCTATCCTTCATTCCCCAGGTCCCTGATGACTTAAATTTTTAATCTGGCCTGAACTTTCCATTTTCATCCATTTTCATTGGATGATCCTGGCTTTAGTATGAGTAAACATTTCCCTTTGTCTCTTCTCCATAGCACATATAAGTGTACCTAATTCTATACTTATTTCCTTTTTTCCTCCCAAAATCCAGCTGTTCAAACCATTCAACACAAAAAGTTACTTTAGTCTTAGGTCATCTTGGTTGCCTATTGATGTCCAATTTCCAACTCTAGCCAATCTTTTTGATGGGGGGCAATAGGCAATGCACAATATATTTTTTTATTCATCACCTGATGTTTTCTAAGTTTTCCTTCCGGATCAATTGCTGCAAGGCAGATAGGATTTTTTCAGGGTAGATTGTCAGAATGTTACTTTTCTTTACTTTGAGGTGTTGTGTTAATTCCCAATCTCACAATCTAGAGCAGGGGTGTCAAACTGGATTTTTTTGAGGGCCAGATCGGCATTGTAGTTCTCTGCGGACTGGGGGAGGGGGCACGGACGATGCCTCCAGCGCCCTGCTGGCCAAAACGGTGCATCCGTGCGCGATCCTCCTGGACCTTGTTTTTACCCTCTATGGCCTGCAGCACTCTGCTGCCTTTTTGGGCCTGATTTCAGCCTGTCTTCAGCTGGCAGAATTCTATAGGAGGCCATGGAGGGTGAAAAAGTGTCATGGGGGAGGGGGCTGCACGCAGTCCCCTTTAGCCGCCATAGGCACCATGGTCCCGTCCTTTGATATTTTCAGGCCAGCCCCGCAGGCCCGATTTAAGCGCCCTGCAGGCCAGATCCAATCCATGGGTGTTGAGTTTGACACCCCTGATCTAGAGAGATCCATTTAAAGTTTTTTGTTTGGACTAGCCTGTATAAGATGTCATCAGCAAAGTTGGCCACTCTGGTTAATTAGATGTTTATGAACAAAAACATGCTGATGTCCACATTCTTTTCCACTGTACTTAATGTGCATTTTTCTCTATCTGTTCTTCAATGAATGATTCATAAGAGACAGGGAACTGCAGATAGACCTAGAAGAATTTTTGATAATTTCATCCTGCTAAAATTGGCTTCAGGGTAAATGCTCTATGGGGCTCAGGATGGGAGGCAGATGATTGATGGTTGGCTTTTACCTCAGCATTTTTCAATGCCATCAAATGTGGTGTCCTGCTGAATCTTTAGAGAGTGCTGGGAAGAGATGCTACTGCTTTCCTCAGGTAGATTTCAGACTATGTTATGTGAAAACAATCTTTAAAAAAAAATTCAGGGCTCTGCTGTATCTCCAGTGCTTTTCAATATCTATATGAAAATGCTGGAACCTCAATATTTATAACCATTTTTTGAAATCTCCACTTGATGGTATACTTTTCATAAATGTCCACTTGTTCTTAGTTGTGAGTTAAAGAATGAATGATTCTTCCCTTCTTGTGAGAGTCACCGTTCCAAAGAAGTATATTTTTATGATGATTATTTTCCAGAAGATAATTATATATGATTTGTGGTGTTTTAGATCCAAATTTCTCTGGTTCCTTTGACAGAAGCAGCAATCAAGACTGC